AAAATTTATTACGTTTCGTACATATATTGCGACTCCACCGCCATGTCTATTTCTATCTTTCCTTACAACATCGTAGCCTTTAACTTTGATTTCCTGGTCAGACACCGACGAGTCGAGCATAGTTTCATTAATGCTAATTATTTCAAATTGTTGTTTATCTAGGTATAATCTTAACTCATCGATATGCTTCGTTAAACTGCGTATGTTAATGTGAGCAATCTTAAATCCTTTTGTAGCTTTTGTAGCTTTAGGGCCGGTTGCATGCTTAAAAGTTTTATGGTTGTCGGTATTCTTGACTTCAACTTGACTTCAACTTAAGGATTGATTCTTTAAAAATTGTTTCAGGTTTCTAGCTAATGTGACTGTTCCCTTCTGGTTTAAATGTAAACCATAACTGTTTAAATGAGTCTTAGTGATATTTTCATGAGAGATAAGTCCCCAATTGCGTTCAGTGCATAAATCATCTAATTTCTTATTATATAAGTTTACCTTGTTATCAAGTTGTTGATCATCGTTCCTTGTGATGATTTGAGACATCGTTAATTCAATGCCGCATTCTTCTTCCGTAATAGCCTTTCCAAGTTTCGTTACCGCTTTAATCAACGCATCTGGAGACTTCGTTTTTAAGTCATTGGTACCTACGTGTAGAATAATATGCTTTAGTTTGTTTTGGACGGTCGGTTTAACATAGTGGATCATATCATCTACACCAGCCCCAGGAAAGGTTTTTATTGAAATCCTTTGGTCAATTCCATGCTGAATTCGCCGAGGATTTAGATGCTTTAACATTGAATCTCCCAAGATTACAATGTCACTCTTGGGCTGACTTTGTTTTACTGCTTTTGGTTCATTGCTTTCTTTTTTTTTTGCATGTATGGTCCACGATCCTGTGTGTTTCTTTTGGTTTCTCGGTGTCGTCTAGTCTTATCACCACTAATATGTTTGCGTTGGTTTTGTTTATCTGTTCTTTCTATCGAGACGTCTCGGTTAATTTCACTGTCGTCGCTTACAATGTCGAATTGATTTTGTAGATGTAAATCACATTGTTCATCGTTGACTTTAAGGTGGCTCCCTACAGTTTTTAGAATATTGAAAACTAATGATTTAGATTGAAATTTTTGGCAGAAAATTTCTTGCTAAACGAAACGAAATTTTCCAGATATATTAACCAACATTCTAACAGTCGAAAATTATCTTTGAGTTTCACGTCATTACCGTTGTTATGGTAACAATGGCGATTCAATATGGCCGACATTTTACCTATTCATGCATTTTACTCGAAAACAAGTTCGGTTACCCCAATTTTTTATTTTATAGAAAGTTTTCTTACAAAAAAATAGGAAATTTGAGCAAGTTTAAAAAAGTTCTATAAAGCCAAAAAATTTCTATAACGAAAAAACACGTTTTTTAATTTTTAATAATTTTGGCTCTATAGAATTTTTTTTAAATGGTTCAAATTTTCCATTTTTTTGTAAGAAAACTTTTTATAAAATAAAAAATTGGGGTAACCGAACTTGTTTTCGAGTAAAATGCATGAATAGGTAAAATGTCGGCCATATTGAATCGCCATTGTTACCATAACAACGGTAATGACGTCATGCTTATGGGCAATTTCTGACTGTTAGAATGTTGGTTAATACATCTGGGAAATTTCTTTTCCTTAGCAAGAAATCTCGTGCTAAAATTTTATATCAAAACCACAAGTTTTTAATATTTTAAAAAATTGTAGGGAGCCACCTTAATACCGCTGGGATTTCGTTCTGGGATGTTTTGGGTTTTAGACGTTCTTTTGCAGCTATTTGCGATATTCCATGTTGACTCAGGTTTATGTTGTTCTTGCTCGTTTTGTAGAATTTTAATGACTGTGACTAAGCTGCTTTTTTCGTTTTCTAGGTCTTTCACTTTTTGGTTAAGATCAGACATAACGCATTTATAATTATCGATCTGTTCTTTAAGTTTGTCGTTTTCTTTCTTCAAATTCTCGTTTTGTTTCGCGAGTAACCCTTTTAGAACCGATGATTGTTCATTGTTCGTTAATTTATTCAAGGTTTCGTTCTCTCCTCTGATCATTTTTTCGTTAAATAAGTCGATTCTTGTCTCATTTATTTCGCATGCAAGTTGACTCATCTTTCGTTCGAATTTTGCTTCAAGTTCGTGTACGGCGACACTTAGTTTTTCTAATTTGTCATCTGCCGGACCATTTATGGTCTCGCCCCCGCTACTGTTAGTGTTATCGACCAAAGTGTCGTCAGAGTTGTTTGCTTTTTCGATGATATTTATCTCCTCGTTGTTGGCCTGAGCTAAATTTGCGATTATGCGAAGCTGTGTAATAATCTTGTCGCTAGATTTCCCTTTAATTATCAGTGATTTGCTATCGGCATACCATCTGATCCCCGCCTCGTTCAATTCAAGCATTTTGCACGAGCCACCGGGCAGGGTCCATCTTGTCTCTGTCTCAGTAACTTTACTCATGAAAGCTTGAAGGCTTTCAAACGAACCATGCCAGCTAAATTTGCCTTTGTGGTTAACTGTTAGATGTTAGGTGGCGTTAATTATCGCATTAGGCTCTTTATTTTCGTTGTTATCCACATCAAATTCGCTTTCGTTGTTAGAGCTCTTAATCGACGTGTCAGCCATTTTGAACTGGGGCACATTAAACTCCCGACGCAAAAGAAAAAACCGAGCCCATTTTACAACTCGGTCTACCTACGGTAGTCCGAGTAATAACAGTTAGGGCTTTTTCTTTGTCTCTGAAATTGTGTACTGTCTTGAAGGTGTGAAGCTTTATTTTATACTTAATTGCTGCCATAACATATAATGCGGCAAAAATTGAACGGCCAATGACAATGTTTACACTAGCTTTACGATTATTTTGTACTGAATGATGGAAACACTTAGCTATATTAAATATACTCGATAAAGACTTTTGAGTCATTTCATAATTATTTAAGTTTATTAAATGTATATGTGATGTTGCTACTCTGAGTCACCAACCGGGCAAGCTGAAAAATTAGCTTGACCACGGTGGGAATCGAACCCGCGACCTTTGGTTTGCTAGTCCAATGCTCTTCCAACTGAGCTACAAGGTATTGGAAAAGCATTGGACTAGCAAACCAAAGGTCGCGGGTTCGATTCCCACCGTCGTCAAGCTAATTTTTCAGCTTGCCCGGTTGGTGACTCAGAGTAGCAACATCACATATACATTTAATATACACACCTGAGTCTTTGCATTATAACTATTTAAGTTTAGATCATTTAGGTCAGCCGATTAGCTCAGAGAATTTTGTATACTTGGTTTGAACTGGCAAGAGGGTTTGCTGCATGCATGTATTCCTGGTAAAACATTCAATCAGCACCTTAGAATTTGACTGTTTCACAGTCAAGAACCCTGGAATATTGTTATAGGCTAAAAGTTAAAGAAATCGGCTGGGAATTTACTTTGTATTCAACTAAAATTTGTATTCAAATGAATTTGCATTCAACTGAAATTTAAATGTAGCTATCTCTAAGCGATCCTGAATATTTTTTTTCAAAAAATATAATATACGAGAATTAAACAAAAAGTTTTATTGGTTTTACTCCGCGCAAACAAAAGAGTTCGATCGGCGTATTCTATTGTTTCATTGTTCTATTGTATTGTTAGCAAACCAAAATTATGAAAAAATTTGTACAGGGTGCCTGAGTAAAAAAAACGGACACCTTTGAAATTCAAATTAGCTGCAATGTGTCTGCAATCGGTTGTAATGTGACAGAAATTGCCTAAAATATCTCATGGGTATACGAAGCATATCAAATAAGTGAACCCATTAATTAACCTTGAACATAAAGTTTGTTTCCTTTGGGAGTTAAAATGCATTCTAAGCTCTGTAATAAAAAAGAACGTTGAATTAGTTCAATTGGTTTAAACACTTTCGCATTAATTAACCACGTCTTGTTGATTGTACACAATGTCAAATTGTGTCGAATTGTCAAATTCCAGCCATAAGTTTGCGGCTAATTTGAATTTCAAAGGTGTCAGTTTTTTTTTACTCACCCTAAGGCTTTTAATCCTAAGATTAGCGTTAACCGCCTTTTAATTATTACCACCACGACCCTAGTAGCCCAAAGGTATTTGTGTTTTAATCTAAAGCGTCCATCCAGTTTAATATCGCGGTCTGTGACGTAAACACCAATTGCTATATTTGTATTATAATAAGATAAGGTTGGAAACTAAATATAAATTAACCACGTACAGCCTCAAAACTATCTACAAAAAACATTGAAAATATGAAAAATATATCACAAAAAACATCATAACAATAAAATTTGATGTTTTTAATTGCTCCCCAGTACATTTTCTTGTTGAAAACAACTCTAGAAATACGAAAAATTTAGCGATACTTTTCGTGTTGCCATGAATTTTTTCGCCGTAACGATGCGGGATGTCTTTTGGCTCATAAAATTGGCGAACACCAATTTAATTATTCGCCAATTTTAATAGCCAATGAGGTCGCTGCTTCGCCATTTGAATCGAAAACCAGTGCTAGGCAAAAGACATCCCGCATCGTTACGGCGAAAAAATTCATGGCAACACGAAAAGTATCGCTAAATTTTTCGTATTTCTAGAGTTGTTTTCAACAAGAACATGTACTGGGGAGCAATTAAAAACATCAAATTTTATTGTTATGATGTTTTTTGTGATATATTTTTCATATTTTCAATGTTTTTGTCGATAGTTTTGAGGCTGTACGTGGTTAATTTATATTTGTTGCCATTTTATTTCGCTATTTTGAGTGAAATAAAGTGGTATTACATTGTTATATCGAGACGACTGTTCTGAAATATAATTTATATTTAGTTGCCAACCTTATCTTATTATAATACAAATATAGCAATTGGTGTTTACGTCACAGACCGCAATATTAAACTGGATGGACGCTTTACATTAAAACACAAATACCTTTGGGCTACCTATAGGCCACGACATTGAGAAATTATAACAACAAATTTCTTATCTATAGAACTTGCAACAGGTTGAATTCTATCGCAACAGCCTATCCCACGTGTTATTTGAGAAGATGTGTTATCATATCGAAACGAGGAAACAAATAATTTTGTTTGTCGCCTTATCAATCCTCGTCACTGGTATGGTCTTGGTTTTGGTCGTGACCATTTCATCGAACGACACATTTAAAAACGTGGCTCCAATACCTCACGCTGTTGATGAAAAAATCGTTCTTCTATTCTGGTCTAAATTATGGGGCAAGCCCGCCAAAAAAGCCATAGAAATACAGAAGGGAAACGACAGAGGGAAATGTCCAGTTGCCTGTGAAGTGACGTCTGACCGGAACAGGGTCAAGGATGCAGATTCATTTCTAGTTCATGCACGTGACCCGCACCCCCTACCTCCAAATAAAGACATACCTTGGGTTCTTATGACACAGGAAAACCCTGTGTACACACCGGTTTTAAAAAACCCAAAATACATGTCACAGTTCCATTTGTTACAAAGCTACAGACTTGATTCAGATTTTCCCATTCCTCTTTTTACCAAGCCAAGTTTGGACCTTCCGTTACCATTTAAAAACAAAACGGGAGGCATAATCGCTGCATTTTCAAACTGTGAGCCGGTTCGAACCAAGTATCTTGGACAACTGATGAAGTTCATTAAAATAGATTCGTATGGTCGATGTTTACGAAATAAAAAAGGACTAATTAACCGTTACGAAACTGACTTTAAAAAGAAAAAGTTGCTCTTACAGAAGACCTATAAATTTGCGATAACATTCTTTAACCAAGATTGCGATTATTTCGTCGATGATCAAATTTTGCATGCCCTAAATGCAGGTGCTGTACCTATTGTAATGAGTACGGACAAGATTTATGAATTTTTACCAGGAAATCTTAGAAATTCCATCGTTAATGTCAGGGATTTCAAAAATCCAGCCGCTCTGGCTGAACACCTAAAATTTCTGATGAACAATGAAACAGAGTATAACAAGTATTTGGAATGGAAAACTAAAGGGCTGGGTGACATAAGTGGTACGATTATCGGTAATTATTGGAGGAAAATTTGATAGATGGTGTCTAACGTGTCAGGCGATAGCTCAGGGAAAGTGGCATAAAGAAGGACTTAAAGTCGACTTATGTCAGCGCAGAAATTACAGTACTTGGGTAATAAAATAATGTTCCATCGCTAATATTTTATTTATAATCTTAATATTTTTTTAATTTCAGTATTTGATATCTGCAGTGTTCTCATTTTTCAATGATTTTGTAACCAAGCTTTGCATTATTACTAATTTATCCTTCTATAGCCGTAGTGGCATTTTTAAATCTCTTTCCTTATAAATATATGCGCCCCAACCTCCTCCTCAAGTGCTTCATAACTCGAACGAGCGGCGATATTAGGGAGTGAGTGAACAGCGTGGCCGGCGTTAATTGTAGAAATGCGAGTAAAGCCCGTTTTCTACTGGGCGACTTTTTTCCCGCGAACAGATAAAAAGTAGGAAGCGATTCTACTTTTTCGTGGCGAAATTTTTCGCAAACCAATCACATCACCGGATTTCAGATATCGCTTCGAGTCGCGCGAATAAATTCGCCTAGTGAAAAACGGGCTTAAAGTATGTGGGCAGGGGCGCCGAGAGAAATTGTGCGGCCCGAAGCAAAAATTTTTTCGGCGGCCCTATGACGTCATGGTTTTAAATATCTGCGAGGCATAAAGTACTTCAAAGCGATGTGAAAAAGTTTAACAAAAAAACTTTTTTACAAACAATATCAACGTATCTTATAGAAATTAGTGAGCTTAAGCAAGTGACGTTTTTGACAACACGTACGTTAACCGGAAGTAAAGTTTTTGTTTTCCACCAATCACAATCCTTGACCCAGTCTTTTCACGTTATTCATGCCGTTTGTGAAGTCAAAAACGTCATTTGCTTTAGTTTAGGTTCTTTCTTAAGTCAGGCGCGCCTTCAGGTTGGGGGCCCGGGGCAAAATGCTTCCCCTGCCCCCTCCCCCCCTTCTCTCCGCGGCCCCATAGGGGAAGCGTCCAATGTCATCTATAGTCACTATCGATGGCGTACATGTATAGTAACCTCCTAATAGGAAATGCAACAAGCGTACATGTGATGGATGGAATCACTGCACACGACTGACAATAATCGAAAAATAAGGGGACAATACAATTTTCAGGTGACTAAAATGTTTTATGAACAGCAGTGATAGAAATATATTAAATTTTATTTTATTCGTATTTATCAGGGCTGGTTATAAGAAGCCATGCATGTGACACTGCTAAACGGGGAATTATTTCAAATATAAGTTAGCAAAGTTGACAAGGGTGCAGAATGAGTCCAGAAAAACTGATGGCTCTAATATTCAAATTTGCTGCGAACTTATGGCTGGCTTAATTTGACAATTCTCTTGTGTCAAACAGCGGCTGATTTTCTTTTCAATCATGACGGGACACGAGGATCCGCTACATTTAAACCATTATGTGTTCCCACCAAGTAAAATGCCTAGCTTCCATGCAAATTTGTGCATTTTTGGAAAGCGTTTTAACACCCACAGGGAAAGATGAAAAACACTCATGGCGAGAAATTTTGGACACGCACAGGGGGGTTCTAATTTATTCTAACGAATAAATTGTTCTAATTTATTCTAACGAATCACAAGTGAAATACACACGATATATCACATTCTAAATAGCCTAAAATGCGACAAAAAAAGTTCGAATATGCCTTAAAACCATGGCAACAAGTCAAGGCTTGGTTGCCTAGCAAATATGGACGATGAAAAACAATTTCAGTTATTTTTTGAAGAGTTTTTTGGGGAAAAAGGTCAGTCTTGATGAAAATATAACGTTGAAATTTGCTGATTTTGAAGCTAAAAACCGCAAGAGATATATATTCTTCACATTTTTGCACTGATGGGTGTTCAAAATCATCGCTCAGAGTTTAGAAAACCGATAGAACATTTTGGTAATCGTGGCCCGATCGCGCGAAAAGCTTACAAGTTCAACGGTCAAAACAACTTTCGAGGCTATAAATGGTGTTTTTCTATACTTTAATAGCCGTTGGCTATTTCCTGCAAAACCGCAAGAAGTATTAACATCTAAATATCATCCATGATATCAAAATATCAAGTTTTACGTCTAAAAACAGAATCAGATAGAACATTTTCACATTTTTAAAAAGTTTAGAGGTAAGGCCACATTTTTAATATAACCCTAATAAAGCCGTGTAATTTCGCGTGGCCATATTGTTTCGAATCTCCCGAAGTCTGTGTATCTACCGCGCGTGCGTGTCCAAAATTTCTCGCCATGTAATGTTTAATTCGATTTCACGTTTCTCTTGACTCACCCTGTTTTGCGCAAGGGCTGCCTTCCATTGTCGCGTTTTTTGTTCCTACGTATACGCACGTGAAAGTTTAAAATCATTTTAATGATACTTATGAAATCAACGATTGAATAGATGCATAGGGTTGGTGCGTGTATATGTACAGTGGCGTACGGGAGACGATAATGGGGGGGCGGGGGGGTCACGTATTCTTATATATTCATGTTGACAGACCTATATATAAAGACAATTGATTTGAAAAGAAATTAGTCTTGTACAACATGAATATATGATAATATGAATTTGTACCCCCCACCCAATTATCGTTCCCCGTACGCCACTGTATATGTATGTGCAAAAAACGCGACAGTGGAAAGCAGCCCTAAATGTTGGCATGACCTGATGGACTAAATAATGCGACTAGATATACTTATAGTACATACTTTATATAACATTAACGAAAGTCATTAGAGTACCGTAATTATCGATTTCACTAATCCATGCACGGTTTAAAAACTGTCTTCGTACAACCGGAAGTACCCCGGTACTTGCACTCATTATCAGGAACTGAAACGTATTAACTATAGATTCATTCAAACTTTGGAATGAATATATTTTAGGTACTTTTACCATAGTTCTAGGATTTTTGGCACAGCCAATATTCCGTCTAGACTACGGACGAGCGGTCAGAGAAGGGTTGGAGATATTCGTTTGGATCCTGATTTAGTTTATCTTCCACGGGACATAAGGTCGAGGAACGAATAATGATTGATCATCATTGATCTTCTTTTGATATTTGGTTATTACAGCTATTCTATAAATATACACCTCCATATAAATCATTATAGATCGAATAGTAACAGCGCTGTGTGTATACACAATGGTTTTAGGCACTCCTTGGGGCAACAAAAGTGAAGGTATACCATATAATAATAACATGCACGAGAACATAAACGCTATTTTTTATACTCTACCACATTCGCATGCATGCTCTTGTTTTTCCGTCTCTGTCATTATATTAAAATATATTGAATACTGGCTGAATGCCTTTCATTGGAAATATAGTAAAAGCTTCGACATTTAAAAACAAAACCCCTTTTCCTAGAAATAGTTCGTTTGCGTACGGCAAGGATTTAGACATAATAGACATGAATGACATGCCTCTATATGGGCGGGAATGGATAAAAATTATGGTACACGACAAAAGAAACAAAAGTGCCGTTAAATATACAGTATAAAGCTCCTTCGCGCGCTAATATTGGTTCATGCACTTAGGCTATTACGATGGAATAGTTGTATACATCATGGATGCTTACTCTCTTCTGATTACATGTAGGTTTTTGAGTATAGCAATACACCTTGATGTATAGTACATATAATTTATACATGGAAATTTGCGTACAACATTTAGACGTGATGAAGTTAGTAAATACATAAATAAACATAAATTTCGGCCGAAAGGAAACTGGACTTCTAGAAATTTCTCCTGAAGATACAGCAACTTCATCAGTAATGATATTTAGGAAAGATATAGATATACAAACGACAGATCAGGAAGCTTGTGTTTGCGTAATTGTGCATGTATACTGGTCATGCAAGCATGATGGAATGTTTTTCTTGTGTTGAAAATTGTCGATGGACACGGAGACTACGAGAATAACTGACCTGTATGGGCATGTATACGCGAATTATGCGAGCAATTATTTTACGTATCGATATAGTGAGTGACATTGCAATGTTGCTGGCTGGACCAAACGGCACTTGCGCATCATGACTGAGATGCTAGTTCAATCCAGCCCCTTCTACTGTAAGCGGTCAGTATACTCAAATCGAAAACAAATATTCTAGATTTTACCTCGTTTTCTGTGGCTTTAACTGGACTGTTAAATGGGACAGTTGGAGTATCAGATGATGAAAATGGATTGAATCCAGATGGTGTTTGTTCATTATGTTGATCATTTGGCTTGACGGGAGATAGTCTTGATTCATGTCCTAACTCTGAAAACTGCTGCGTTACCCGTAACAAACCACTCTCGTTAACACTAATTATTACCCAAATTATATCTAAAAGCAAAGTAGAAATACATCTCAGCGTACAGAACAAAGAACATATATAAATAAAAATATAGATAAGATCAATAAAAAAGCTAAAAATATAAATAGGCTCAATAGAAACAGCCAGTTGTACAGTAGTGACGTTGCCATGCATGCAGTATTAAGCTTGGTTTTCCATTCAGTCGTATGTATAAATGTCTTGATGAGAAGTATGTCGTCCGGATGCAAATTTGTCTTTCACCACTCAAATCGGTCATTATTAACTGCGTACACATAGAAATCCTTTATCGACACTTACGACTAAAGGGAAGCCAGGCATTATTTACAGAAGTCTGCTTATGCAAACCGAGGTCTTTGTGTATTGACCGATCGAGCTCGTAAGGCGAGATTTGCACGAAAAGACCGGAATCCGAATTTCTTGGTGATGAACAAGCAAACGAGAAAATATCGCATTTTAGTAATATATCGCTAATAAAAGCCTACAGTATATGTTATTCAAATACAAGATGCTGTTTCTTCTTTAGCATTTTCCTATTTCAAAACTCACCCCCAAAATATTGACCCATGGATGTACACATTCTCCATTGTGCTTGGTAAATGCCGTTGCTTGATGGTGAGATCATTTCAACACTGACATCAGTAGATTTCGTTGGTTCAACTGCGTGAACTGACACAAATGTGATCGGTCCAAGTTGATCCCCGTAAGTGAACTTTAGGAAAACTCCCGGAGGCCACATTTCAACTCCTGTTAGAAACATGCAAGAAAAAGAATCACATTTATTAAATACTGATAAATTATTATACAGTACGTGTGTAAGTAAACATAATTATGCTTTAGGGGTAATTGGTTAAAATAAAAGTCCCGCAAAGCCAAGGAAGATTTAGCAACAGCCCCGAGGGAGAACCCTAAGAGACTTCGGCTAAACTTTCAAGGTTATAAAGTAACATTTATTTCGGCAATGTCCCTGAAATCATGTGCATGTTTAGTGTTTAGTTTACAATAACATGATTACTGAGATAAAAACGTTGGGAAAATTCATGGTAACTTCATCTGCTTCAATGTTGAAAGAGTCAATGTAATCCTTGTGGGGAACATTTTGCTAATGGGTCATTCCACATCAAATCAGCAAGAAAAAAATAAAAATGACACCATCCCCTCTCAGATTGTCACCAAAATTATACCAAGTGAAGATATTAGTTAGATATGAAAGCACACCAAATTTTAGCTCAATAGCTCTATTCGTTCTTGAAATATTGGCTTTTCAATATTTCACCTAAAACGGGTGTCGGTTACAGTACATAAATATTCACCTGGTAAAAAGCATGTATGGTATGACGACCATAATTTTGCTTCCTTTAATACCAGGGGTATGAAAATTGGCTGTTTACCATTTTAAGACATGCTGATTCAGAATACAAAGTCAAAATTATCATAATTTGATAAAAAAAGCACATTTTCAATGTTTGAAGACAGACAATGATTCTGCCTTGTATGGCTGCGTATTTTACAGCAGCGACAGTGTCAGCGAGATTCGTCGACAACTGCATGGTAATGCTCACATTCCTCAGGTAAACGAATTTGCAAATAATTGTCAATCTTCTGCTCTCTGATTTAAGGGATGGCAGTGAACTCCAAATAGACTGTAGTAAGACTTTACTCGACTCTAGTTCAATGAAGGAGGGGCAGTGGTGAAACGTCCAAGTTACGTTTAGAACTAAAAATCTTCACCCCTGCATGTACTGTAGTTTACGAAATTACATTAGTTGTTACCCCAACAAACACCGAGGAAATCTGTAAGACGCAGTTCCCCAATAAATTCTAAATTTTAAGCATTGAAACAATGAAAGGACCAAAGAAATGCATCTTCGACGTTTCACCAGCCTTCGTCTTGCTTATAAAGTGTATATTTCTAACCACCCAGCATGCGAGCGTGAAGGTTATAAATACGACGGCGTAACATGTGGGGATCATACTGTAGATAAAATATTACAACGGCCTCCTTCTATAACTTTATTAAAGCATAATAATCTTTTCATCATGCATACTACATGGGAAATTGGTTTACCACTGACAGTTCATTCTGCAAAATATCCTTAAACGATCTTTGAAGTGAAGAATGTTTGCGCGTGCAGCTATATCAAAATCATTTAAAGGTCCCGTTTTGTGCTGTTTCATTTCAATAGCATAAAATATATTCCGTTAATTACGAGAACAATACTTCGGCTTCTCGCATTCAGACATTGTATTCTGAAAACCTACTTCATTATTTGTAAATGCAACCAGTTACCAGCCACCCTTGCATGGTTTGGGGTTTCCAAGAGTCTGAAAGTCTAAAATTCTCCGAGGAGAAAGCCCCAACCACAATCTGCTACGCAGTTTTCATCACACGTAAGGTGGACATTTGTCCACTGCCTGAAATTGTTTACGACCATACTCGTGTACTTTTACAAAATACGCCTTGAAGTAATAGATTTTTTCAACAACGTAAAGACACTAAAGAATGTCAGACTCCCCAAAAAATATAGCGGTACTGTAAATAGGATTACCAGTACAGTATATGGATTAACTTTAGTTTTTTGGTTCATCTAATTCTTGTTTTGATGAATATACTGTAAATTAGCTTGTAGGTACATCCCTTAGGTATTTAATACTGCAATGATGACGTTCCAGGTTAACGGACCAAAAGCTTAGCAGTATTAAATACATGTACTTACGAGGTGTACCTACTGTACAAGTAAATTTACTTGTGCCACCGTGGAAACTTACAAGAATATTAATTCTTGATGATTTACTTGTTAGAGGAAAAGTGTATAATTAAGCTGTGGAATTACAGTATTACTACAGTATAATCCCACAATAATATAATAATAATTTAATATCTATTCCGTGCAAAATTAACATTTATATATGATGCGCGTAACAACTACAATTCACAACATGAAACTAAATTCATTTCAAAAGTTGTTTACCGTTATTCTTTAATCTCCAGGTTTTAATAAATTTTGTATTTGGTGGGACAGCTTCTCCTTCACCAATTGTTATATCTTGCATGAATTCCATGTTTGGCAACTTTTCAACTGTCTGAGAACTATTGAAGTCATAATAAGCACCAACTGCTGCCTAAAAATGATCAAGAAGAAACAATCTGGTGTAACCTTCACAGAGGGTTTCCAGGTGGTAGAAAAACCAGTGTAATATTTATACACTTTGAAAACTTAACGCTACGCAATTTGGAAAATCTCAATCAACCCTTTCAATAATTGTATGTCACAAATTTAAATTTAGAACCACTGGATTTCAAGTTTTACTCTCACAAGCCACATGCAAAGATGCAAAACATCCTTCTCAACATGCATGAAAGAGATTTTCTTTTGACCTCACATAGCTTATGAGAGTAAAACTTGAAATTCATCTCATTTAAGGTGGTTCTAAAGGTGGCCATCAAGCAGGGATCTACATCCCATGCATTGCTGATTCATGCTCTCAAACCACTGAGCTATGGAGTAAGCTGCCACTGAGCTATAGTGAGATTTGTACATGTAAATAGCAGGACAAATGAACAGGTTAAAATTTCAAAAAGTCTGTGTGCATGTACAAATTAATTCTTTATTGGCCTTAATTTCAAAAGATAAACAGCTAATATTTATTTATTGTATATATACACTATACACTCTATGGTGTATTGTATATATACACTATATAGATATATATATATATATAATATATATATATATATATATATATATATAATATATATATATATATATACATATACATATATATATATATATATATATATATACACTCTATGGTGAGGTTTAGATTAAGAAAAACTAAGAAAGTGGAATGCAAACAAAGCCAATTGCTCTGATGTCTGTATGTAGGTACACAGTAGCCCGGTTGCAATGATCACACTGCTGCTGCATACCAATGAGTTGGCTGATCAACATCGTTTAATTTTTCATTGATACATTAATAATAGTAGAAACACTTAACACCATTTGAAACAAAATTACTGTACGCTGTCTAATTAGCTAGCTGTGAGCAAGTGAAGTTAAGTTTTGTCCTTGCTGATAACTGTTAATGTTAATCAGACAATGGCTGCAAACTAGAGATGCTTAATTATAGCAGAGCTATATATCACTGTAACAGCATTAGCAGGTTGTTAGGTCAAATTATTTATTAGATTGTAACAAATTCATTTTGCCAGGTACTTTTAAAATGTAGACTCATTAGTTTTCAGATCACATAATTACCATGTGAGGAATGATTACCAAACTATGCTATTGCATGAGTATTAACTGCCAGACATACACTCCACATTTAGTGAGTTTCAATCAATACAACCACATGCATACAGGAATACTATCTATACAATATTTAAATCAGTTGCACCATTGCTGGCATTTCTGAAGGCTGTTGTAAGGAGAGTGTTATTAAATGCAATAGAAATGCATGGACAGATTAGTTTAAAATTGATTTAAAATCTTGGGTAAAATGTTATAAATTTTGGGTATCAATTGCCACATGCAGTCTGGCACTTTGGCTAGTGATCTGCTTTACGTAAGTGGAGTTAGTTTTTTGAAGCACTGCACCAAACATGGCACAAATTTACTACGCACTTCATAGTTTATATTAACGCTTGTGTATAACATTATTATATTTAACTATACTCTCGACTATACCTACTGTAACATCAAATTTTACATACCTGCAAGTTCCTGCAAGAGAAAGTTAACAGTTTAGTTTATGAGTTTACAACAGTGACAACACTTTACAATGCTCTACATGCTTAAACAACCGCATCACTCTTCAAAAATCAATTTTACACAAATATTTACCAATTTGTCATGTCTAGAAAGAAAATACATCCTGCGTGACTGAGCTGGAAATTCAACAGTCTTTGTAATTCTGTTATCAAAATATCTCGATCTGTCGTTCCTAGCGCGTTAAACCTTGTTAAGAAATCTTGGTCTACTTCGTTATCAACGTCCATTGCCATTCAAACGATATATAACAATATAAACAACATGAATTAAGAAATATTGTAGTCAGAATTCCAACATTTTAACACAACCCAACAGCAACAAGACGACCAAGATCGAGAATTCCATTCCAAGAATAGACCATTCCCGACGTTTACGCAAGATTTCCTTTTCATGATAACTAATATTTCTCGGATTATTTAGTGCACATACCACTTTTAGCACTTGGTTTGCTTTTTATTTTACTGAAGTTATTAAGGATGCGTATTTTTAAGCAGCATACTGTGTAATTGTGGCCCCAAACATTGAGCCTTTTTAAAAGTTCTTTTCTTTAAGGATACCTGGTAATTCTTTAAAAGGATTTCCACACGAACGAATGACGTCTTCTTATGTGGATTTATACACGCGAGACTTCCACGTGTTGAGACTTGAACGAGTTCTGATTGTATAAATATTCAACTATATAATTGTTCTACGTTCTATAAACTCATGGCGTCAGCATTTTAACCTTGTTGAAAATCGTAACGTCACGCACGATATAGCTTGCTGCTTGCCTCAAGTCGCGTCAAGTTGATCAGGTCTTCTTGGAATATTAAAACAACTTCTGTGATTGATTTTTATAAAATCATAAATGGGTTTATCTTAAAGTTTATAAATAGCACAAGAAATTTTAAAAACATCAAAAACGCGTCTCGACCAATCAAAATGTTCCTAAGCACCCCACGTGACTATAGTTTCCTATCCAGTGATTTTATTATCCATGGTTCTATTGTTCAATTTCGTTACATTTTATTCCACGTTGTCTACATATTTTTATTAAAGCAACTATTGGCGAACGAAGCAAAAATGATGACTCGGGAGAAACGCAAGAGCGATCAGTCAAGAAAAAACAATACAACATCTCCTGAACCGGGAAATAAAAAATGTAGAAAGGTGAAATATTTTCATTTAGGCCCTTTGTCTATGCCACAGCCACACGATATTAATATATACATTGAGAAACTGAGATTTTGTCAGTAATATAACCGGACCGTTCTATAACTAGTTGTCGTATAACCAAAGAACAACTAGATTTGTTGGTTTATTAACAATACTTTTAATGTCTTTAATGAAAGTATTATCGCTGTATATACCACTTTCACTTTTGTAGTTAGCGTATTTGGAAGATCATTCACTCAGTATATATGAAATACCATGCTATTATAGCACGGAAATTATCTGTATAAAAGTTTTAAAAATGTTGTCTCTGGATCGATGAATAGTTCTAGGCACTTTTCGATCAGCTTGGTAAAAAGAAGATATAACAACAAACAACTGTATATTCCTCCATATTGAGTGTTAGCTATGATTACCAAATTAAATTAAGGACTTTTTAATTTTTATGATTATAATTATGAAATTATGATTACAATCATAATTTTGAGTAGTTGGGATTAAATTACATTATGATTGTGACTATCAAATCACAAATTTAGTTAGGTGTTACATTTTTTTTATTTTTTTGACAAAATTAGCCACCTAAAAGTCAACTTCATTATCAGGTATGATTTTGATCCACTGCCTCAACACCCATATGTTAATCTTTCACTTATTGCAATAATATTGCAGACATCCTGAGTGGTTATCACCACCAGAGCTATGAGGCCATGAAATCCCAGATAGAGACATATGAATAGCTCTGTTTATTTGAATAAATTAACAGACTTCTTGTACTATGTTGTAGATCTACACTGTATTAAGTACTGATAATTAATATGCAGATGTCAGAATAGTACTCGTAAAACTTCACTATTCAGTACGAGCTATAAATTCATATGTATTTGTGTGCATGTACACCATTTAATTTTTTTGGTTTTAACAGTCTTATAGCAAAACTGGCCCAAGGGGGAGGTGGGGGTATTTAATTGCAAGGTTAATAGGTGCTATCAGAATTCAGAAGTATGCATGCAGTAGAGCTATCCACAGAGGCCTAAGAACTGGTGGCAGAAAGGATGGTTTCCTCTTTTGCCTTTACTGTACCACTACCAGCAGTGGGGCAGAAGATAAGCCCTTTCTATATAATAATTTTAAACATTGTACTGAAGCTACCATGGTGCCATTTTTTGCTACCAACCCACAGTTAATTCATTGTTGCAAAGACAATTTACTGGTGCAATTACTAAAGAATATATACACAAATGAGTTTAAAGACTGCAAAATAAAGCTATTTAATATGCTCAAGAGGCAATCAGGTGCCTTAACTTGTACTTACGACAGTTACGACTTTTAATACTGTACTTCATCCTACTTTTTCTGAAATGATTTTTTTAAAGTTCATTTCTGTATATAATTTCAGCGAAGTTGATTTTTCCGCTTCAACCCTGCTTTAACCCTGCTTTAACCCAGTTAACCACTGCAGTGAACTCACTGCTTCGACCATGTTTGCCATTGTTGTTTTTCGCGGGAATTTCTGTGAAAATCCCATCACTCAAAATATGTTTTCAACGTTATTGAACGTACTCGTTGTTTTCCGGCAACCAAAAGGATAATTTATAATACTGGAATAATAACAAGTTTTAAAAAATCCTTTCTATAAATATACTAAATGTCGGACCTAATTGGCTCGGAAGAAAAGACCGAGCAAGTAATTTGATATTTTGCTTAAAAAGTAAGACATGCATTTGCACTTGAAACTTTAAACAAAAAAAGATTAAAAAATGCATGAATTCGTATTACACTAAAAACAAAATATATATTGCATCATATAGTTTACTTAAAACCGTCTGGAAACACCTTTCTCAGTCGAAACACCTAAAGTTGCCTTTTAGCATTTATTTGTGCCATTTTCTTTCAGAATTTATCTTTTTTCTATCTTGTAATGGAGAAAGTGCTGGTATAATTTCGAGAGAGGGGGAGGGGGGGGGGGGGTAGATATTCATATATTCAGTTCTGCCCGACATAGTTCTAGTTACGCCATGGCAGCCGATCACCGATGATAAATCCACATTAATGCCAAGTTGTTATTTCGAAGACCAAGATGCTTTTTGGCTATATATTTTTAAAAAGAGGAAATTAATAATCATTTTCATTATATAGATTGATGACGAGAAAACAAACGATAAACATAACGAATCTGATGAAGTTCAATTACAAGTTCCAACCCAAGTTCCAACCACTCCGAATCAAGCAACTAACAGTGTAGCTGATAGACCACATGTAATTAATGTTAAAGTTAATTGTACTCAGTTTTATGTATAATCCACAAAAGCAGTCAATGGAGTATCAATATATGGGTAATGTCGCAGCTCCTCGCAAGAATGATTTTCATTGGCTGAACATTACAATACATTTCTGTTTCAACCAATAGCATATATAGCTTCGTTCTTTAGAAATCATAGAAAAACTTTATCCAATTGGACGAAAGCTTCCGAGCACTCCCCAATATATATATATATAGGATATCATGATTACTGGGACCCGTTGTGTTGACTACATTTGCATAGTTTACTACATAAGAAATACACGACTCTGATTGGCCAAGTCGGTCCGTTACTATAGCTAGTTGAAAGTTAACTAGTCTTTTATACAACCAGTGGCGCTGGTTGAAAAGAGCCTTTCATCAGTTTCCTTTTAAACTTCGTTGCAGGGACGAGATCCTACAAAAACTATAAACATTGCCGTCTCATCAAGAGCACTGTTTGGTTTAGACGAGGAGCATAAAACCTTCGTTGACAAAGGTTTGCATGAATATATCAAGATGCAAGTGAACAAAGAAGATGAGTGTTTAGAACCTGGATCTGCTTTTCCTTTTATCAAGGTTATCAGTTGTTACTTCATCGAATTTCGCGGTTCCGTTGGACGATTGTTCTTCTAATCTTATAGTCTAATGCCATCAAGGCTGAATAAAAATGACAGGATAAAAACCAGGGAATTGGGCGGTGATCAAGTATAGCCATTCGCTGGTCCACTGCATCTCAGGGTTTATTTAATCCAATAATATGTTTGTGTTTAGGCTCTGAAGAATGTCAATGATGCTTTGAAAAGAAGAGATCATGCAGAGGAAGAATTATTTACAGTTACGCTGATGTCAAAGAATAGTGCTCAAGTTGGAATACGGCTCCAGAAATCAATTGAAAATTACCCAGGTACAAAGACTGAGCTTTTTATTTTAGTGATTTCAAACAATATATCCCAACATTACTTAGACACAAGAAAACTGCTCAAAATAGCCATTTTGTTTTGTAATGCAAATTAGTGCACTATTGCTGGATCCACCCCTGGGGGTAAATGTCGCGTTTAAACAATTCATGTAGTCATTCACCAAACAAATTGCAAAATGTATATTATAGAACTGAAAATTGAACGTATGGCACTAACAGGTGGAACATCTCCCACTAATTATCTAAAAGCTTTGAACATCACGTTATTTTTAACAAGTGAAGAAGAAGATGTGAAAGAAGCTCTTAGACAAGGTTAGGAAGATTAGGTCGATCGTATTCACTGTATATTCACGACTGAACCTTCCATATTTACTGAACCATATATATATATATATATATATATATATATATATATATATATATATATATATATATATATATACCGTGACCGTGTAATGTTCTTTTTATTATAATTATGCCAATATGGACTAATTTCGGAGTGACAAAAATAGTGCAAACGCCAACTACAATAACATTGGTTGTTCCTGCAGGTTTTCCTTCGGCAGTGATGTCGACTCAAGTCACTAATACTACAAGTGAAACTCAGCTTCGTGTCGCATTCGATCTTGACGCTGTGTTGTTCTCTGATGAATCTGAGAGAATTTACAAAGAATATGGCCTTGGTGCATTTTTGGCGCACGAAAAAAAGAATAAGGAAAAACCTTTAGATGAAGTATGTAAGAGATAGGATCCTCGTACATTTTCTAGTTAATGTAACGCAAGCAGAAAAAATAACCTTCTCTGTCTAGAGTTAGACTCGTTACTATTTTGATTGGAGTAAAAAATTAGAAAAATAGATTAAAGAAACACCCGGAAGGGCAACCTCAGCATGAAAATTAGAGCAACTTATTCAGAAAGACCAGTCTATTGTTTTAGTTAAAGCAACTATTTTTCAGTTCCTGACGCCTTTTACCTCGTTATTTGAGGGCATTCACAGAATCGTATCTCTTTAAATTACGAAACACAAATTGCTAATGAAGGAAACAAAATACTTTTTCCTCTTTTAGTTAAAATAGTGATAGAAATGCCAATTAGAATCCAATTTCATGAAAATTACATATTTTTCACAGGGTCCAATAAAACCTTTCGCTATGGCGTTGGGAAAGATGAGGAAGAAGTTTGAACCTTCCGAACAAGACTGTCCAATCAGAACATTTCTAGTAACATCACGTGACGCAGAAGTGGGCGAACGTGCTTTGAAGACATTACGTCATTGGGGATTAAAGATTGATGAGTCATTCTTCATGGCAGGTGCACCAAAGGGTGAAATATTGAAAGCAATCAATCCCCATATATATTTTGATGATCAGCAATCTCACATTAAAAGTGCGAGAGAAAAAGGGACACCATCAGGACACGTTCCCAGCACAGATCAACAAACATACGATAAGACCAAACAAGAGTCGGTCAAGACCAATTTGAAATTTTGAAATGCTAATATACTCAATGAAAAATGTTATACTTTATATTATAACATCCTTAACAACGTCCTGATTGATTTATGTAAATGATATCTAGTATTTTATGATAAATTAAAGTTTAAATAATTATATTCTAACACATTCATTTGACATTTTTAAATTAAACTCCCTTTTAAACTCGTCCATTCTTTTTTGTTGTCTCTGTTCTTGCTCTCATTTCCACCATGGAGGAGAAAATATTCTCCTTAGCCACTCGTGTATAAATCTCATTTTTACATTGCAGACGCAGTACATCACATCAATCCATTATTTTTCATAGAATAAGAATGTGAGGACCCTGATATAAACATTGTCCACGTTTTTCGAAATTTTCTGAACAAACTATAACTAAGTTTGTTTACATATAGACTTGCCTTTCACGTATAATGCAACCAACATTTTCAATCTTTCCTCAATTCAGCTCTCATTTTGGTAAATCCAAGATTTTCAAGGATTTCAATATTAACAATTTTAATACATTAATATCAGCATTTTTTATTAAACTGACTTCACCCAGACATCAATTGTGTAGCATTTTCCCAGGGGAATCGTACTACGTTTCACACTTTGGTATCCCCAAGCGTTGGATTCGTCCGTGAATATTTGTTTTATCTGAATTGACCTATTAGCAAATAAATTTGATTTGGCTGTGCAACTGAGATTCAAATATGCACCTTTCCTCATGTGAAGGACACGAAGATAAAATCTACAATGCTTGGAATCATTTAGATAAGCTAGCTCGAGTTCCATGCTATATCCTTTAAACCAAAATATAGTTGAATAACTGGATTTTCCTCTAGAATTCGATAACTTCTTGTCAAGTTCTTCATCGACCTTCCAAGAAAACGTGGGATCCTTCTCTTGTAAGATCGGTCGTTCTATTGGTTTATCTTCGAGTTTTTCTCGTCGCATGTGCGAAAATCCGTGATATGCTAAACCGTTCCAAACGTACGAGTTAAATCCACGCATTTGTTTTGCCACGACATGATGCTGTACAACATCATATAAAAAATCGACAGACATAAACTGAAATCTCACAACCTTTAACAGATCACATTTATGGCGTTCATAACGCGGCACATGTAAGTCAACCCATTTCATCAATGCAACAAATATTGTGTTTTCAGAGAGTATGGCCAAGCTATCGCTGCCTAAAAGAAGCTTTAGGGACGCCTCAGACAATGTCGAAAACTTATCCATCGTCCACGTCTTGTCAATTGGGGTAAATTCTTCCACAAGGAACTGCTCAATCATATTAAATAAATCTTCCGTGTTTGACAGATTCTCTATTTCTTCAAGAATATATTCACACGTCTCCATATCTAATCTTGATGACAACATAACATACTTGCATTTCTTAGCCACAAACGATACATCATACTTGTTTGCAAGGACAAAAGTTTTCACAACAAGACGTAGGTCTTTGCCATTGAGAACATCAAGCGTGTACATCGCTTCAATTAAAGTTGTATGAGCTTCGATTTCATTTTCATGGACCTTCATTACTACGTCTTTAGTATAACTTTCTTTCATGCCAGAATAGAAAAGTGCCTTGAAATATGGACTCTGAACTGCTAGCCACTGGCTGTGAACATATAATTTTTTCAGGAATATCTTTTCCTCAACAATGGCACTACCATTATCAGTTTTTTCTTTTTGATCATCCTCAAACGCCTCAGATATTTTACTGTCATCTTCTTTACATGGTCGTTCACAATCTTCCTTTGCATAATCTGGCCCTTTCTTCATGCCACTCATGAGTGACATTTCCTCGATGGCTGTCTTGACACTCTTCTTTGATTCATCAATGCATGTTTCTGGAAAATAAGTTATAAATATTGACACTCTTCTTTGATTCATCAATGCATGTTTCTGGAAAATAAGTTATAAATATATATATATATATATATATATATATATATATATATATATATTAATATATATATATATATATTAATATATATATCAAGTTTGCCGAAGATGATGCACCTCCCTTGCTTGAGACCAATGTTGCGCACAAAGGAAATGATGACTCCTACTTTGTTTAAGGCCAGTTTTAAATGTTGAACTCTTAATGTGCTAAATTGAATGTAAATAAACTAAAACACAGCCTTTAGCTCTATAACATTAGATTTGGCACATGAAAAGTTTGAAAGGTTAATTTTTTCAATTAAAAAGATAAAAATTCTGGATCATCCTGGAGAATCTCATGCACCATATCTTCCATGTTTCTCTCAGAAAGTTGTTAGCCATACTGTCAGCAATATTGTTATTTGTTAGTCATATAGCACTAATTACAGTGGTGCTGCAAATAAGCTAGCAGAGTACTGTTCATAATTATATAGTGAAATAACTCAAGCTAATAATTAATATGAGTAGATATAAGGTTATTGTATGATTTTAAAAATTGGGTTTGGTAAAATTAAATGTAACTGTAACTGTCATACAATAATTTGGAAGGGTTAAGAATATTTGATTGGAATGCATGGTGTTTGTCTTTCTGATTGATTTTTCCTTCATCTCTGGGACAATGAACATTGCTAATGTTTTTGGTAATATTCTTTATTATAATATTCTTAGTATATTTCCCACCATGTATGCCGAGACATTGCTAGGATTTTGAGGAAAAGAGAGGGGAGGAGCAAGAAGCTAAGTAGGGCCAGGGTGGCAGTATGACTCAAGACAAGGTTCAGTCAGGATTCATCCCCATCTGATTTTAATAATTACCAAATCTATACCAGCCTGAGGGGGGAAGTCTAACTAATTTTTGAGCAGCTTTGGTTATAAAATATTAATATATGGTCAAACGGCTGCCTGGCTACCCCCCCCCCCTGTCCTTGGTATAACTTCACAGACGGAAATATTCGGTTATTGCTATCTCTGCCTCTGGCATAAAAAATAGGCAATATGGTGCAATATTTAGAATTTCTATGAGCTATTCTGATGTTGAGTCGTGAACCTACGTTTCTCGTCACTTTGATCACCGCATTCTGAGCTGTCCACTTGAGTCTCCAGTTCTACTGGTTTGCAATTGGTTGGTATTGTTTCACTATCGCAAGGAAGTAAAGTCTCAGCCTTCTCATTCACAGAGTCTTCGCAATCAAGGATTTCAAAACATAGTACACGGTCGTGTATGCTGTTGTTATTAAATTCGGAAGCGAATATATTTGAAAACTCATGTAAGTCCTCGAACTTCATAGCATTTGAGGAGACCTCCTGGAAGTTCTCCTTTTCTTCGGCCATCATGCATTCGTGTCTGTTCGTGTCGCAGACAATGTTTCCACAGCATGCTATTCAATTTCAAATTTTTTTTTGATTTTTAATTTCTGGAATTTAAAATCCTCGAATTTCCTTGAAATGGATGCCATTTCCTTGAAATTTCATTCATTACGTAATCTTATTCACCCGACGCTTCTATCAATAAAACATTCAACTAAACTTTAACACACAAAAGACGCAAAGTTCTGGCTAGTTGTATGAAAGCCGGATAGCGCTGTCCACCGTGATTTTTCAATCGCTTTAAAATCGCCCGTTTTTTGCTACAACTTTGATTAAATCTTAATATTCCTAAATCGAGAATCTTCTTTTATAATTATATATGAAATTTTGATATGAAATTTAATTCAGATATGAAATTTTATCTCTTTTCGAGCATTTTTATAACGATTAAAAAATCATAATCGTATCGTACTACGAAGGATGGATAGCGCGCTCATCGACATGATAGTAGTTCGTACAATCGGCCCTGGTGATATTTCGACCGTTTTCAAGTCATTGTCAAATCACTGATGAGCCATTTACAGGCCTTTACAAGCGTGTCAGATTTGTTTGTATATTTGCGAATTTCAAATAAACGCAAACTTGGGCTTTCAGTCGGCATTGTCGAGTAGATCCTTCGAAAGAAAATCTACCTGAGAAGCCGTCTTATTTGGTATCTTTTCCTTATTTTTCAATTTTTCGTCCTGATTGGGCTACAACGAAGACATGCAAGATTTGTGTTTTAATGCGAGAGCGCGATTTAACGGGACATTCATTAAACAAACATATACTTATACCACACTTATACCTGGTCCAAAGTTGCAGAATGACTTGTTCAAGGTCCTCTAGCTCATGCAGTACATTCTAGATGCCGTGGAAATGGCGTAATCGCAACCATAGATATACATACTACGCCATTTTCATGAAATGGAGCCTTTGGGGACGGCCTCTACTTCATTATGTGCTCAGTTAGTTGCTCGAGAAAATTTACTGATTCTTCTCCTATCAACGAAGCACGATAAACCAAACCGGTTGGATTTTGAAATACACTGAATGTTGCTTTAAAATAAGATATAGTAAATTTTCATTACCAAGGTGCTTTAATATCTAGCCCAACAACTGCATGCTAATATATGCGAAAAGCTAAGTTCTATCAAAGGTAGCGGCGCTGCCAGGATACTCATTTTTCCCGGAAATGTTTAATCCACATTGGTTTGCAGTGATTGTCTTTTTCAGTTAACATTTTAATTTATTTATCTGGAACGATGACTGACATTGATTTTAGCTGTAAAAATGCATTAAGCCAACACGAGTGATAGCAACCACGTCAACGATACGTAAGTCCCAGTCCCTTTTGTCCTTGCATTTCCAGCAAATTATAAATTCAGACAGTGGTGGATCTATAGAGGTGTGCAGAATAAATTACTACAGGTTAAAATCGGAATCGCATTGGCAGATTTAAGATTTTGATGTAAAAATATTCTTTTAAGATCTATAACCAAAAATTAACGTTGTTCAGTAAGGTGTTTTGAATTTAAAATTAAGCTGTTTAATTTATTCTGCACACCCGTAGACCCGCCACTGAATTCAGATAAAGAAATTGAATTGAAGTTGTTCGCTATTATGTCATGCATGACGTTGGGGGGGGGGGTTGAGGCCTCTGAGTGAGTTTGGTAAAATCTCTACGATTTTGAAGTTTCTGAAGAGCTTTTTTTAACCTAAAAGTGTTCATTCAGCCATGCGTGCTATTGAATTATTTATTTGAATTATTTATTAAGCCTGGTTGTCATGCATATGTCACCGACGTTCGATAATGTATTTATTCTTTGTCGCCAGTGACGAAGAAAATGTGTTCAAAATAACAAAGCACGAACTTGTGATTCATCAGTGGTTAACCACGGTAGCCATATGCATTCCTGACTGTCGGTGACATCAAGCAGAACCTAGTCTAGCCTTAAAGCGATTTCCATTCAGTGCAAAAAGTTGCGCGATCGATTTTTTGCGATCAATTTCTTTTGAAATGTGCATGTTTATTCAAGCTCATCTAACTGGATTAGTCCCGCTTGACTGTTTGTAGTTCAAAAGAAAGCGATCGGAAACAGTCGATCGCGCGACATTTTGCACTGAATGGAAATCACTTTAAGAATTAAGGCTAGACCAGGCTTTCGATACCTTAAGCAGGCACTTTGGGGATAAGCAAGATAAGGAAATAAAAAAATTATGTACCCCAGAGAATGTTTCAAATATTTTAAGTTTGTTTATTTTATTACCAGGAATGTTAGTCAAAATGAGGCGCTGTTTGATATGCATGCATGGCAAAACATTATCAGTAAATATTACTCTGCAATGCTTTATCAATTCTGGATCTTCAGCTACGTATATGCAGATATTTTTTCTTAGTACCAAAATGATAAAATGTTTACTTATTAAAATGACATTACAAACAGCAATTGCAGTCAAGTATTTTAAGAATAATTCGTCCATAAGCTTTTCTGTATTTCGTATGTCTTATTCCGTAAATGAAAGCATTCACGATCGAGTTTATTCCATAAATTTCATAGTTAACAACCACAAACCAAATCTGCCGACATGAACCACCACAAAATTTCAACAATACGGTCCCGATAACCGATGGTAAAAAGCAACAGATCGTCAAAACAATAATAACAATAGAAAATGTTTTCACTTCTGTAAATGCTTGAAATAAACGAATTATAACCCTTGTCCTGCTTGGCTGTTCATTGTCGTTGCTGTAGCCTGCGACCATTGATTCATCAAAGATTCGTTTGCGTTGATTCCGTGACACACGTAAAATTTGGAAATTTAGAACAAATATTAGAGAAAGTGGGATATAGCCGAGAGGGAATAGTACTGAATAATAAATGCTGTCGGGTATGAAACAAGAACTTCTGAATTTGTTGTCGAAACTCCGTGAGTGAATATGAACTACTGCGTAAATACAACAAGCAGTAAACCAGACTCCTGAAACAGCCAGAAATACTCGTCGACGTGTCACAATCATGGGATATTTCAGAGGTTTTTGGATGAATAGATAACGATCAACAGTTATTAAGAGAATTGTAGCCACTGAAGCAAACAACAATGACCAGATGGTAGAACGACTTAACTTACAAAACAAGTTCTGATCACTTTCAATGTTTAATACAGTTTGAATCAACTCGATGATCCATAGTGGATAAAATGTTAAACAAACGAGAAGATCCGCTAATGCCAAGTTTGCTATCAAGTAAGATGTCGCTGTCTTTTCTTTACGCAACAAAATTGTGTATATTATAACTGTGACATTTCCCAATACTCCAATAATCATCGCGACGAATTTAAAAGCAACTGAGAAGATAAGAACACTGCTGGCAACTGAAACAAATGATGTGGCGTTTGTCATTTTTGACCGTTGAATACCAGTGAATGACGAAGTATATGCACTAAAATTTCTGCAAAATTAGGCGCTCAAACTCGCCTTCCCAATGACTAATGTATAAAACAAAGTAAACACAACATCAGGATGTTAAAGTTGAAATTTTCGATATGCACCTGTGCGTTGAACGGCAAATGAAAACAAATAATTACAGCATCTTCAGTAGTTTGTGAATAATTATATAATTTTAATAACGCCATATGTATACTTAGCTGCGAGTATTATAAACTCACTTAAATGACTTATTCCAGCTGATCATACATGCATGCCGTGTTCTCGTCAAGTTGTGTCTTAGAAGAACACAAAAAACATTGAAAAAACCTTTTGGAATTTCAATACGCTAATTCCGATGAAAATGATTATCCCATATGTATGGCATAGTTTTATTTGTCGTAAAAACCTAACCAAAGTCTAGAGAACATAATTGGGATATAATTCGTGTGGAAATGCGTTTATAATTGAATGCGGGTAAACACACTGATCTAAGAGAAACCGAGTAATTCAGTCCTCTGAATAAGACAAGAAAGAAGAGATGCAATTCGTTCAATTTAGTTTGCATCATGCAGTCATTGGACTCTATGCGCACTTGTATCGTATCTATTTTAACAGGGGATTGTGGCACCAAACTTTAAGTGTATGTAGATATATAGATAGCATATATAGTAATCTCGTCATTTTGGGAAGTGTATAGACAAATACATTAGAGTGGAAATTTTGAGAATTTGTTTTATTACTAACTTAGCTGATTTACCAACTTGACATGTGTAATAGACTTATAATGACGTCAAACGCTGAGAGTCTGATGTTACACGAAATTTCATTGCCTCCAAAAAACTATCGAGCCAATCAAACTTCGTGTAACATCATACTTTCCGTGTTTAACGTCATTATGAAAAAGGTCTATTATTGCCATTAACTAAGGTTAGCAAAGTTATACTCAATTTTTTACCGACGCTCGTGCGACAAACTTCACGTTTGACTACGTCTTAAAATCTGGGTGTCGCATAACTCATGCACACGCTTCGTGCTTGACAAGGCAGAAGGCAGAAAGCAGAGTGACATGCTTGAACAGATTGTTAACATTATGAGCACACGTATTCAGAATAAAGACATAATGTTTAGACGTGTTGTTTGACTTTCTCATTAATTTTAAGGGCATTTAGCTGATTAAGGTTGTCATGCTCTATGTCAATCACAATAACGAAATGCATCATGTTAGAGAAACAGCAGTAGATATTGATAGAAGTGATCTTGGGTTTTCTACAAAGTTTAACTCATCAGTAGCCTTGTATGAGATGTTTAGCAATCGATTGTGACGCAGTTGAAGTTATGTGGACGAGTTGCATTGCCAGCTGTTACTCAGAATAAAAGTCAAGAAGGTTTTCCCGAGATGAACTTTGAATATTCATTGTTTGTCTCTTATTATATACAGTACTGTCCAGAAATAACCTAACACTGCCGTTGTGGTTCGGTTGCGGCTCGGTCTCGATTCGGTTGCAGACGACCGCAAGGGAAAAAAACGTTCGTAGTCGCCGTTCGCTTCCCAACG